AGTCCAGGCTGGCCTCGAACTCACAGAGATCCACCTGGCTCTGCCTCCCGAGTGCTGGGATTAAAGGCGTGCGCCACCACCGCCCGGCCAGTTTTTCTTGTTGTAGTGACCCCCCCCAATCAAATTTTCATTTCCACTTCATAACTGCAATTTTGCTACTGCTATGTATCATAATATAAATATCTGTGTTTTCGGATGGTCTTAGGTGACCCCTGTGAAAGGCTTGTTCAACCCCACAAAGGGGTCACAACCCACACTGCTGAGAACCACTGGTCTAGAGTCCAGGCATCTACAGAATTACCAGCTCACTGTTGTTATTAGTACAACTAGTTGCACACAGTAAATACATTTATAAAATACAAATCAGCTCACAACTGTAATTAAGAAATGCTCTGTCTGGCGTAGAGAGATGTTCAGCAGTTAAGAGCACTGGCTGTTCTTCCAGAGGACCTGGGGCTGATTGTCAGCACCGACGGTGGGTGGCTCACAACCATTTCTAACTCTATCCCAGGGAATCTCATGCCCTCTTCTGGACTCCATGGGCACTGCATGTACCTAGTGCACAGACGAACACGCAAGCAAAACACCCGTGTATTTAAGGAGCTAAACAAACAAGCAAACAAAGCAAAACAACAACAACAACAACAACAACGACAAAACCCAGAAACACATCTGGTGACGAAAACGCTTATTTGAATTTGCTGCAGTACTTTGTTTTTGAATTCTGGCTCACTCGTTTCATTTCACCAAGGAAAGCTGAAAATCACGAAGGAAGCTGAATCCAAGTGTAATCATTACTAACTGAAAAACTTCAAAAGCAGGCATTTCAACGACTCACAGAAGTATAATTTAAATAAACATGAAAGCAGTTTCATGACTATTCAAATTTGTAAAAGAAATCTTCCAAACACCGGCCTGTTAGAAGTGTCGTCAACAGAGTTTCCATTTTAAACATCCTAAAATTCGATTCTACAACTCTTGACTCTTATTGTAAGAAGTAAATCTAAACTACTGAGCCAATTTGACAGGAAGCAGAAATCTACACAACTTAAGACTGAGGAGGAGAGAGTCTCTCCCTCTCCCTCTCTCTTTGCGGGGCGGGGGCAGGATTCCTTGGAAGGCGGTCAGGCCTGGAATTCACTATGGAAGAATGACCTTGAATCTCTGATCCTCCTGCCTCCACCTCCCTAACTGAGATCACTTACATGCGTGCACCAGCTCCGCTGAGGAGATGTTTTCAATGCAGTAGAAATCATTACTGACAATAACCTGATAATAAGAATAGTCTGTGAGTCTAAAACAAGACCGTTAGTGGGCACACCCGTAATCCCATCACTTGGGAGGCTGAGGCAGGAGGATTACCATCAGCTGGAGCCTGATGTCGTTTTCACAGTGAGTTCCAGACCAGTCTACAGGGTGGGATGCTGTCTGAATAAAATAATCACAATAAAAACAAGCTGTCTGGGGCGTCTCCCCGTAGAGTAGGTGCTCAGCGATTTTGGTCAGTGGGCCAAGGCTTCTCTGCAGGCGCCCGGCGACAGGCCGGTCATCTAGCACCTAGGCAGCTGCTCAAGGTCCCCGCCGCCCGCGCTCTCTGCTCCGCGATCTCCTCACCCCGCACTTGCTCCGCGCTCTCCCCACCCCGGATCTCCGCCCCGCACTTGCCCTGCTCTCTCTGCACCCCGGATCTCCGCCCCGCACTT